TCAGCGGGCACCTTCAGCCCTGCGCTTCCACGGTTAATTGCACAACATGGGTCGACGTTATTTAAAGTTTCTTTTTTAAACAGAGGAAGCCACATAACCGGCTGTGAAGGCGGTGAAAAGCTGCAGGTCTCCAGCCCTGCCCACCCCGTGGCCGGACGGTTGGGCCTCGTGACCGAAATGTCAGCATTTCCTTCCGCCTGAGGGGACACGGCTGTTTGTGTTTTCGATCATAAGACGGGTATTTGATCACGTCAAACTTTTTGCAGAAGGAGCTGATTTTGGAAAGAGGAATAAAGGAGGGAGGCTTGCTCAGGGCATGGTGGGAAGCGCTGGGTCAGCCTCAAGTACCGCAGCTCCCTGATGGGCGTCTGGGTGTCCTTAGGGAGGCTGCGGGCGAAGAGGGTGCTTGGCTCCCTGCCAATGTAGATAACATTTGCAGTAAGATTTGAGGCCAGGATATTTTTTTGCAACATAAGGATTCTAAAATTGCCATCGTGGATATATTGGCATAATCACCCAACGCTCCCCTTTGCCTTTGGCCATACTGAAATGAGATGGCTTCACTCAGGACACAGCACCCACTGATTTTTTGCAGCTCATGGGTTATGTCCTTCCATCTCCATCCAGTACAGCACTCATTTTACCAGCTCCTTTGAACGTGGCAAGCAGATATGTGAATTAGAGCCCGCTTTGATCTTAAGGACTTTTTTTTTTCCTGGCACAGGCCAGGGAGTTTTCCAATTGCTAATTAAAACAGAGAGCAGTCAGAAGAATTTTAAATATTAATGCCAAGGCTTACCCAGGGTGGAAGAGGCTGGCTGGAAATCCAGGCGGATGATTAATCTTCTCACGCCGGTGGAATCCAATCAATGTTTTTCCCCTCAGCTGCCACAAGGAAGACATAAAAAATGCTGCCATGGCTGCCAGAGTGGGAGCTGACAGGACTGTTCCCAGGACTGCTTGAAGGTTACAGAAGACCTGATCACACAGGGTCAGGGACAAAAGCAAGGGGTTTTGTGGTTTTTTTCCCTGCGTTTTCCTATTACTTTAAAGAATGAAGACCTGCTTTCCCATTGCAGACAATTAAATCTCTCTAGAACAGGCAGATTGGGCTGCGGTGAGCAGACCCGGTGTGAGAGTCCCACATTAAAATGCTGTTCTTTGCACCACTTTAATACAAATGTTAAAAAAGTTCTGAACAAACCAAAAACATTGGTTTTTTTCTCATTGGTCTGTGGATCTATTTGCTGTAAAAAATAAAAGAATAATCAAAGATCAGACATTTCCAGCCCAGGTTGCTTGTGATTATATTCACAAGGAGATTTAATGTCTCAAGCCATCTTGCACTGAGATGCTGTTACATCTCCTTGGACACAAAAGAATGATATCTTGTAAACAACTTGAAATCAAAGTCCCTGATTCACCCATGGCATCTGGGTGGTGCCTGTAGCCCGGTGGGAGAGGACAGGTCTCAGATGATTACTCTGGCTGCACAGATGTGAGGTCCAGACTCTTCTACAGCAACGTGGGATGGGTGTTTGCTGTCTCCTCCAATGTAGGACCTGTCAGGGCCAAATAAAACTTAACCTTAAGCTTAAAGCAGATTTGAAAAAAAAACAAAAAAAAAACCAGAAATTTCCCCCTGCAACATGTAACTCAACTGGGAAACTCCTTGCCTGTGATCATTTGCAGGAGCTGAAAAAGTGTCCAGAAGATCACCTCTGATCACACCCAAAGGGTTAAAAAGACAGTGACTCATGGTGCAATCCTCACCTGCTGCCATTGCTGCCGCATGGGTTTGAGGCTGCATTACCAGTGCATAACATTCATCTAGAGGAGCCTTGGGTGCTGTGTGATGAAGAATGGTCACCTGGACAGAAGTCATCTCCCAGGACAGCCTGGCCACAGGTGCTACTCAGCAAGACTGGTGGGACGCCATCAGCTCACTCCAACTCCTCAGGCACTAGACCTTGTCTCTGGGAGGGTATGGCCTGCAAGCAGTAAAATTTACAATTTCTCACCAGTTTGGTAAAGTATGTCTACCAGGTGACTATGTTTTCCCACTCCTAGAAGGTTCCCTGGCTGATGCCCACAGTGCTCCTGGCATATGGGGTCACGGATGGAATTCCACCAGCCTCATCTCCAGTAGTGTCTCCCGGAAAGGTGGCCCTGTCCCTGCACCTTTATCTGTTTCCGCCTTACGTTTCGGTTACCCGGTTCCCAGTGTCAGCCTCATCATGCTGGGAATATTATTTCCCCAGGGGTAAAGGAATCTCCAAATGACCTGGCCAGGGGTCTTCTATGGGAGTGCACTGGTCCTCCACATGTAGTCGCTCTAGGCCTCTTGGCTGCAGCCACAAATATATTATTAACGCATTTTTCCCCACTATTGGCCAAGGTGGGTCTCTTGTCGGGGTGGCTTGGAGTGAGACCTTGCTTGGTCACATTTAGAAGAAGAATATGAAGCTCTGTCACAACTCTTGTTGGGTCAGCCAACCCAGATATTCTTTTTCTGATGGGTTATCAAGTTTTGACTTGATAGCATCTTTGAAAGCATATGGCCTTGATTTCCCACCCAACATACCAGGGATGATGTAGAAATCCCATTGGGGTTTTTTGCAACAGTTCAGCTGAGTCCTCTACAGGGTCTAATTGACACCAAAGTGGTGTTCAGGAGATGAACCCTCTTTAGTCAGGTGAGTCAGTCCTACAGCCACGACCTGCAGTGAAGTGTGTGCTCAGCCCCTTCTGCTGGTCCCCAAAGCAAAGCAGTGTTGCTCATGCAGGGGATATCAGGGAAGTGAAAAAGCTGGGTATGAGACCTGATAACTCTACTCCATTCTTGCAGGCTTACAAGAAGCAAGAAGTCATCACGTTTCATACATGTTTTTCTAGATGGGACCAGCAGCAGAACACCTTCATCCGCCCACTCATAGCGTGCTGAAATCAGGGCAGGAAACCAGCAGCCCACAAGAACAAACTCGGGATCATTAAGCCCAAGGCCACTCGCCACCAAAAGGCTTCCTCTGACATTTGGGAGTCTGGTTCTCAAGGAGCTACTGGAGTCAACCAGGGACTGGGCTGATTAAATGAGTCCTGGTGAACAGGACTGAGCCTGACCGGCTGCTGCTGTCTGAGACATGCCCGATGGCCTCCTGCCATTCACTGCATGTAGAACAAAGCTGCCCTGATGGAAACTCTCCTGCT